GTGTGTGTGTGTGTGTGTGTGTGTGTGTGCGTGCGTGCGTATATTTCGGCAGCGTATTTTCATTAAGGCAAGTTTCGTTAAATAATTTAGATACACTCTGTCTACTTATTCTCGAAAGGATCCTTTCATACTCGCGAATGACCTTTTTCGTGTGATTATTGAAAGACGAGAGGGAAACTCCGTGTTGGTTCATACTGTATTTCTTTCCGAGTACTTTCGACATAGCATAATGTCATCATCAGGGTATTTTTAATTATAGGATAAGTAATCTAGTGTTCTTGGTTGTGGAAGACAAAATTTCTTATGTCATGCTGTGGCTAGCGAGTACTGATTAAGGGGAAATAACTAGGTATTTTTTTGACAGATTTTCCGACGTGAGTAGTCGACAAATACAAGAAAGAACTATTCGCACGAACACTAACCTTTAGAGACTATCTATTGTACACATTTTAAAATGTTTATGGAGTATTCATAATTAATTTTACGGGTGATTTTATTAGTGATAGTGGATTTGGTGTAGTATATAATCAATTGTATATTTTACTAGGATCTGTGGTGGATGTATTGGTTTTTATTATTTTTCATATTTTCGTTTTGTTTATAGTTAGTATATGGTTGTGATATAGGTAGTTGATATGTTTAGGGTTAGTTGGACGAGTATTATGTTTTATTTGTTTAGTATCGAGATCTCTGATTGAGCATCTTATTGGTTCATCGACGATATAGTTAGGGAAGTTATTATTGATGAGTGTTTCACATTTTTTTAGTTTGCGGGAGAAAATCTGCTTTGTGGATGAATTAATTTTTGCTTTGTTTATTAGGTTTTATATAATTGCTAATTTACAGTAAAAATAAACACAGTAAAACTTCCAGTACTGTTAACTATAAGAGTGAATGTCCAAATTCACTTTTATAGTTAAGAGTACAGGAAGTTTTACTGGAGTTTTTTACTCGGAAAAAATACAGGAACAGCACGGCATTTTCCTCTCGTCTTTCAATAACTTAGCAAAAGCTCATTCGCAAGTACGAAAGGATCCTATCAGTATATATATATATATATATATATATATATATATATATATATATATATATAAAGGACTCTCCGGTCGGTTTCGACGTATGAGTATCTGACAGCTTATTGATTCAGTTATGAAATTTTTGCGATAATCTTAAGTGGCATTTAAGACCCGCTAGTGTTTTACAAAGGAGGCGGGCCACATATGGAGCAAGTGTGAGGATTGTGAGATGAGATCGCTGTTAGATTGGCTGACCTTTTAGATCTTGCTCTCGCTCCTTGAAGATGATTCAGACAAGCAGATTGAAAATTGCTGTGTCCACTAAAAAACGTTGATCTCCATTCTACCCGCTCCAAGGCTAAGTGCTCAAGGGTGTTATATTGACTGCTGACAATACACCACATATCTATAATATATCTATATATATATATATATATATATATATATATATATATATATATATATATATATATATTGCCTTGAATGAAAAAATAATTTGCGTTTTTTGTCAAATGTTTTTCTTTAAAAAGTAAACTTATATTTTAGTTAATTACATATTCACCATTATTTGCAATGAGGCTTTCGATACTGTTTGAATAGATTTCTGTGGGTTTTGACGCAAAAAAGTTTTCGCGGAACAGTTTAACATGGTTTCAAGTTGATTTTTTTTTTCTATCAAAGCGTTTCGTAACGATCCCCCAAAATGGTACTAATCGTTTTGTGAATGGTTAGGTGAATAATTATTCTCTCTGAACATGGACTTGCGTTGTCATGAAGAAGAAAAACATTTTGACTGACGAGCTTTTTCCAGCCAAATATTTAATGGGCGCATTGTATCTGCTAGATGCATAAATGTGCATTTAGTTTTACATTGCCTTTAAAGAACTCGAAATGAATAACACCCCGACAATTCAACCATTAGTATTTTTTATAGGAGATTAACCTTTGGGGTTATTAATGGTGATTTATAATTCCACTGCTTTTTACGTTGAATATTGTTGTATATGTCGCACTCGAAATTTATTCTGCCATCTAATGCTTAGTAGTTAGTATAATACATTGGTCATTACAAGTGGTTCTCTAAAGGAAAATTACTTATCGCAATTGTAATGGAACTATTAGCTGTTTCCTTATAAGGAAACATTCAGCATTCATTGACCTAGCAGCCAGAGCTGTTGTAGGTTGAAATGTATAAAAGCTTCCTATTAAAACAATTTCTTAGCTTCAGTCTAGTGCTAACGTTCTTTCTTGTATTAATGGGTGTTTCCTTCCTAACCTTTTGTTTCAGGTAGTGTGTAACTGCTTCAAATATTATGAGTGTATATATCACTATGATTACCATATTGAACAACCTCTCGCTCTCTCTCTCTCGCTCTCTCTCTCTCGCTCTCACTCACTCACACACATACATATAAACACACACTAAAAGAAAGACAGTTACCTTAAACAACTTAATCTTGCCTTTATATAATATGCGTTAGGCTTTCATTTTCCCTTCATGCGGATATATATGCATCTATAAGCATCACTTAATAAAATTCCACGTTTTCCAACCATTGACACTTACTCTCACTATGTTAATATCCAGTCTTCATATTTCCCCTTTTATTGTAAATTTCCGTGATTTTATCGAGACAACTTCTCTTGTTAGCTCTCTCTTCTCTTTCTCTCTTGTAACGGCATTCACGCGGGGTGGGCTGAGCCGGCTCCAATATTAGAGTTTCATGGGAATTTGGAATTCACAAGCGGTCCCCAGCCCGCATGTATAGCACATGAGATTTGATTATAGTGGTGAAGGTTTCGTCCAGGATCATCCACACTTTTTGAAGGGCCGATTACAGAGACCTGGTGCACTACGTGCGACAAGGTCCCCAAGCGACCCTCTGCAGGTTTTTGAATTCAAAGTTTTCCTTCTCCTAGACCAGTTGCCATCCAAGGCTATAGAACCCAGTCTGTCCTGCTATTTACCCATAGCTGGAGGGAGAAGAAGAGGATTCACACCTTTACCAAGGGTATTAGTACGTAAGTGAATGTAATGAATTCGACTGGAATTCGAACTCGGCTCTCCGATTCCTCAATCCAAGCCGCTACCCATTACTTGTTAGCTCTCTGTTCAATCGTAGCTCCATCATCCTTTTGATGGGGCTTATTTTTCTTCCAGTTTCGTTTTTTTATATTGATTCATTCGTTTTCCACGTTTTATCAACCCATTGCCGGTTTTGTTAAAGCCAGAAAATATTTTTAGATTGTATTTTTTTTTTTTTTTTGGTGGTAGTGGAAAAATAATAACTGTTTAGGGATACGAGTTTTACTAATTAACCCATAACTGGGGGGAAAGGTGGATTCGTAGCTTTCCTCCTCCTTCGTCGCTAACAATGAAATTTTTGAATTATTTGTCTCCTACTACGACTGTTGCAAGTAAATTCAGATAAATTGTCGAAGGTATCTGGATTAGTCAACAAATCAAAACTAGTGACGGTCTACAGATGGGTGGAATGTGGACTATACATGACCAGATTCGTCCTTCAGGACAGACATTTACGTGTCCTGATAACAGTGAGGCGGAACACTGTCACTCATACCCTAAAGTCTTAGGTTTCTGTCAGGGATTTTTCTTGCCTTACGCAGATAACTGAGTTAACTGTAGAAGTGTGTCGCTATTTCGAAGAAACAAGACCTAGGCGGATCGAGGTTCCAGGTTTCATTATAATAATTCGTAGATATATTTTATTTCAAGTAATGTTTTAAGTCAGAATGGATAGCGGCTCGGATTGAGAAATCGGAGAGCTGAGTTCGAATTCCAGTCGAATCCATTACATTCACTTACGTGCTAATACCCTTGGGAAAGGTATGAATCCTCTCTTCACCCCCACCAGCTATGGGTAAATAGCAGGACAGGCTGGGTTCTATAGCCTTGGATGGCAACTGGTCTACCACAAAAAGAAATGGCAACCTACTGCGAGAAAAAAATCTACCTCGTCAGTCATGTGTCGAAAGATACATGATCTCTAAGCGTGTATCACGCATGGCACTGACTGACTGATATACAAAATATCCATTTATTCGAAACTAAAAGTTTATTAGCTGAATGATGGCAATATTGGTGTATACTCAAAACCAAAATTATAACCTGGTTCATTCTCAGCTAGGCCGTTTTACAGCCGGAATATGATATGCTAGGTGAGTTTATACATACGATGGCAAAATGGGATAGGCTGCAATATGGCCCCTCTCGTAGGGAATATAGCACTATTTTCCTATTATGTTTTTTTATGGTTTGTCAACCTTTTGAGCGTTATTTAAAATTGAAACATTTTGAATTGTAAGAATAACCCTTTTGTTTTCAAAGTGAATATTAAATGAACATTCTTTTGCAGATTACAATATCTTACAGATACAAGTCCTACTATTTAACCAATAGCTTGGTGGAGATGAGACGGATTTATACCGTAAGTGTATGTAAGGAACTCGACCTCAGTTTTCCGATTTCGCATTGTGAGCTGCTACGCATCCATATATATATATATATATATATCTATTATCGCATTCAAAGATGATAATTGAAGAAACTATGGAACATGTAGCGCCACACATTCGCAGAGATTCCCTTTCTGCATTCTAATCCCCACAATTTTATTAGGAAAGTTACTGCCGCAGAAAGAAATGGCAACCTAAAAATTATCTGCTTCGTCAGGCCAGTATCAAAAGATACATGATCGCCTAAGCGTGTATCACGCATGGCACATAACTGACTGATATATTTCTCAACAAGTGCGTTGTCGTATAATGGAATGAGAAATCAAAGAGCAGAGTTCGAATTCCAGTCGAATTTCATTTCTTACGCGGAAATAACTTTGGAAAAGTTACGTATCCATCTCTTTTTCTCTATTGTGAAAAAATCTTCTGCCTAGTCAGTTAGGAATCAGAAGAGACATGATCGCCCAAGCGTGTATCACGTATGATAATTAACCGATTGATTTATATATGTCAGTAGTCTCTCGAATTTCTTTCTTTCCTTTTTCTTTTTTCTTTCTTTCTTTCTTTCTTTCTTTCTTTCTTTTTTCTTTCTTTCTTTCTCTTTTTCTTTCTTTCTTTCTTTCAAGACCACTCGTATTTATGGATGCACTATTGATGTCTGTTGTCTGACGCTGATCGAAAATGTTTTAAGCTGTCAACAATTTAAAGAATGAACCGCAGCTGTTGCTACTAGTACGAATTTTTAATTTTTACTAGAAAGAGTTTTTATGTTTTTGTTGCTTTTTTACCTTAACTACCTACAAAAATTGAACCCCGAAAAATAAATGCATCAGACTAAAAAAACATGATAATTTCAGACAAATAAAAAATAAATTTGAATAAAGTTTCAAACTATCTATAACTAATTTAATAAGGAATTCTAGCCTCTTCTGTGCATTCACTGATCGCAAAAAAAAAATGGCATTTTTTAATATTCTCTACCGATTCTGTTTCCTAAGAGAAACCTACCGATAATAGGTAAGCGTGAAGATTGGCACAACACAATCTTCATTCTCTCGTTATCAACTTCTTCCTGCTGATAATCGGTCAATATAGCTTACAGGAAAAAGAGAGCTTCGAATGTAAAGTCGAAAATCAAAAAAAAAGCTGAATACGACTGTTAAATCTATCTCCCGATATGAATCTTATTTATGAGTTTATTTTGAACTGTGACCTGATGACAATGTTCAAAAATCTATTTTGTTTTCAGCGCAGTCGAATTGAATATATCAGAAGGGAAGATAGCAGATCTGATAATTCTCTATCTGAAAGTATAATACCTTCTGCCAAACATTATATTTTAGATGAAGCCTAGTCGGATATCCCAAAGGAGAAGATAGCAAATGTATTACATTATCAATCTGGCAGAAAATCTAAGATTTTTACTTTTGTTTTTTGTGCAAATAATGATAATGTTTTTCACACAAACATATACCAAGTTATGTCTTTTATCTGGCGTCACATTTTCCTTATTACCATGGCAAACGTTCAGATGAGTTCCATTCTTATCTTGGATAAACGAATGACATCCCTCATGGATAAAGTTTTCGGTTCAAAATTCCCGCTATATTACCGAAAATCAGAGACTGCATTAAAAACCTGGAAGATATGATGATGATTGGAATATCCAAAAATATTTGATTAAAACAAAAGCTGTAATAATGACAATTTCTCAGCTCAGATATTCAGACGGGAAAAGAAAATGAATAAAATATGAATAATAAAAATATTCCGAAGCAGTTTTCTCTACGGAGAAATTAGTGCTGAATAAAGTCTGACACTAGGAGAACAAGATCAAGAATTGCTGGTGTCCGATTAAAGTTGAAAAATAGTATCGAGTCAATGAAATCGGGCATAGCTGATCATGTATGAAAGGGAATAGGTTATATTCAGTCCCTTTGTAATAAATTTAAAATACTAGACAAGGAACATCATTGGCGAGTTAGACGTCTGAACGAATTAGCGCATATGCTAGGCTATGAGGATAAAAAAATGAATAATAAAAATATTCCGAAGCAGTCTACTCTACTGAGAAATCAGTGCTGAATAAAGTCTAGCACTAGGAGAACATGATCAAGAATTGCTGGTGCTCGATTAAAGGTGAAAAATAGGGTTATGTCAATGAAATCGGGCATAGCCGATCATGTATGAAAGGGAATGGGTTATATTCAGTCCCTTTGTAATGAAGTTAAAACACTGGACAAGGAAGGACACTGGAGAGTTAGACGTTTGAACGAATTAGCGCATATGCTAGGCTATGAGGAGCTCCTTAGTAGGCCTAGCATAGAAATAAATACAAAATGGAAGCCGTTAATAAAGAAAGAAAGACAAATGAAAATCTTCAACCGCAGCAGCAGTAGTCAAAACAAGAAGCAGCAGTAGCAACTCTAATCAGCAGGCAGGTTAGGTTTAAAGTTCACAATAGTAATTCCTCCTACGGGACAATGCCCTAGTGGATAAAAATACTGGTTTCTGAATGTTGTGATATAGTGATAGTGAGTTCAATCTGGCACTTGGAAATGAGCGAACAATACTAAATAAAAATAAGAACTAGATGATATCCCTAGATATAGTTCAGAATTCACTGTAGTTCACCTAGATCAATATATACCTGAGGAAAACCGGAGGGCACAAATGCCGAAACGTCGTGTTAACAGCAACAAAGATGCGAACAACTGTACGAATATAATAGTGTAAATAATGATAACTCCTCATCCCAGAAATTAAAAATACATCATCTCAGCATTCTAATAGATTTTATGTTATTAGGTTGGTGCAAAAATAATGACGTAATAATGTCGTTTTTTAACTTATTTTTTAAAGTCAAAAAACAACATTATTACGTCATTATTTTCGCACCAACCTAATATCTATAACTAAATATTTAATATCTGTCTATGATAAAGGCGTTAGTTAGATCTTGCGACAGGGCCCAAAGTGTGTGAGTTCAATACCCGGTTAAGGCAGTAGTTGCGAACATAAACAGGGAATTAACAGCAGATAACTGATAACTGACATCCATTAAACATGGCACGTGAAACTAGAACAATCTACCCCAGTGAGCAAAATAAAGGGTTCAGTTCGACATTCCAACCACCTGAAGAAGGCCCGAGCGTACAACAACCGAAACGTTGTAATAAATATGGCGACAAAGATGAGGACAATAATCCGAATAATGTAAATAGTGCAAATATTTAAATTTAATTTCATATTCTTTTATTCTTACTTCATTCAAATCTCACATCCATTAAACATGGCCCGAAGAACTAGAACAGTCAACCCCCAGTGAGCAAAATAAAGCGTTTAGTTTGACATTCCAATCCCCTGAAGAAGGCCGGAGCGTACAACGGCCGAAACGTTGTAATAAATATGGCGACAAAGATGAGGACAATAATCCGAATAATGTAAATAGTGTAAATATTTAAATTTAATTTCATATTCTTTTATTCTTACATTATTCAGATCTTCTTTGCTTTGTCACGGGCCGTAAATCTATACAGCCTGAAATCACCCAAACCTGAAAAAAAAGCCGATTCTCTGACAGCGAGTTCCCTGTGTGCTTTCGCGAAAGACAGAGGCCTCAGCTGCAGAGGCATAGGAAAAGAACAACCAAAGAAAATAAATTAAAAAAAAAAAAACTTCTGTCAGAAATCAACGCTTGTGTCTCGAAGGCATTTTGGACGACAAGGTTGCTTCATAAAACGTCAGCTATTTATTGCAGGTGGCCGTGCTGGGTAAATGGCTCCAGCTTCAGGTATTGTGCAAATGAACGTGAAATTAACAAACCTCCATCCCTTGTTCACTATGCAAGACGAATCAGCGAAGCGAGTCGAGTCCGCTTCGTTAAAACAGCATTCGTCATTTTCGACTCTCAAAGGATTTCGATTTGCCAGCGGGGACTGGTCTTCGGGGCGCAATCCGTACTATTAACCATCGTGATCGAACGCTGATTTCCAATATTCTTTTCTATACATTGATTCGTTTTATTATTTTTACATTCTCTTTTATTCACAACCTTGCTTTGTCTTGGTTCTTCGTTTTATTGACACCCCCCCTCTTCAAAGCAAAGGCGAAGTTTGAGTGGAAAGACGTGTGTAAAAATAACACCTCAAAGCTTAAATCAAAATATTTCCAAACAACGGTTTTCCAATATAATAAGATTACTTCCTTTGATCTCGTAAATGGCGGTCTACACGTCTGCAATCAGAGTTGTCCGCTAGGGCGACTAGCTAAATCCCTGTAGCAGACGCCTGTACTGACACATTTAGGTTTGTTCAAAACCAACAGAGGCCAAGTATGGTTTATGTTGCGACTATGCTGAGCGATACTTAGTTTAAGTTTCTGAGATAGATCGTATAGTATGACGTAAAGAACAGTTTGAACACGGCCAGTAGGCTCCCAATCTTGGTCACGATGACTTATGACTTCGTGCCAGAAAAACCAGACGACTTCTGAATAGTTTATTCTAACCATTTCGGTAGATAGACGAGGCACGGTGGAGTAATGGATAGCGATAGTAAAGGAGAGCCGAGTTCGAATTCCTGAACGGATCCATTGTATGCACATACGTATTTATACCCTTGGGAAAGGTATGAATCCTATACTTCTCCCTCCCTCCCTACCTCAGTTGGAGAAGATGATGATTCATAGGTAAAATAGCAGGACAGACATGGTTGTATACAACCGGTCTAGGAGAAATTAACTCTGAATTTAAATGTAGAGCTGGCGTGGTACATACTATCAAAGCTGGTTTCGGGGGCGCAATCCGTACTGTTAACATCGTGATCGAACGCTGATTTCCGATATTCGTTTCTATGCTTATGTTTTATTGTTTTTATATTGTGTTTTTCTCATAAATGATCCCAACTACGTTCATCTTGAAAAAAAAAGAAGATATATAATAATGGTTTTTAGGCACTTTCCAACGGCGCGGTGTGCTGGGATTACCTCACCAGGCCGCTAGCAAGTCGCCGGTCCATGACCAGAAAGTGAATGTTCTAACAACTCATCCACGTACAAATTCGTATTATTACACACACATATATATATATATATATATATATATATATATATATATATATATATATAACAAAAAATTCATGTTATATATATATAGTATAGATAAGATAAAATTCATATGGTATATATATATATATAATAGATAAGATATATATATTTATATATATATGGTATGTATATATATATATATATATATATATATATATATATATATATATAAATAAACGAAATGTAGTATAGATAAAAGAAATATATATATTTATATTTTTTAATCTTGCCTATACTATATATTTATTTTTTTACCTATACCACATTTCTTTTATATATATATATATATATATATATATATATATATATATATATATATATATATATATATATATATATATATATATATATATATATATATATATATATCCCAATATAAAATAAAAAATAAAAAACAAAAACTTCAAGTAAAAGACAACCGATACCAAATAAGATTAATTATGACCTTTGTTAATTATAACAATGTCTTAAATTATAACAATGTTTTAAATTATAACAATGTCTTAAAATGTGTATAGCAGTAACGTTTTAAAAACTTAAATTGTAATTT